CTTCTAAATTACTTTCAATTTAGCGAATGAATTATTAAACAAATTTTAATTCTTTTTATATACTTTTGAAAAATACTCTATTTGCATACTTTTAGTAATTTAAGCGATTAAAGATTGTATAGGATACAAATGTAAGTGACTTGGGACAGTGCAGGTAACTTAGGACAGCATTTTTATTAAATTTAATCATGAATGGATTCCATGATTGAATTTAACAAATATACATGCTATTCCAAGTTACTTTCACTGTCCCAAGTCATTTACGATATTTAATTTGTTAAAATTTGAATTCATTGGTCCCAAAGTTCCATTACTTTTAAATATTTATTTTAATAGATTTTAATGGAAACTTATGCCAATATCATTTGCGCGATATTTATCATATTTTATCTGATGTGATTACTTTTACATGACTTAACTTCATGATATATATAACGCAAAATGAAATTAATGATTTCACGGATACTAAAAGCTTTGTGACATTCGATATATCAAAATCTATTCGTCATAAACGTACAAATCTCGCCAGTGAATCTTTACCATGGATTTATCATATCGTGACAAACAATATTTCTGCGTGAATCGAGTATTGCGTGTCTAGTATTTTATTAGAATTATTGGGAAAAGTCATGTTTTCCTGCTTCTGCAAAAACTTCCTAACATCGCATAAATCTCATTAATTTTCCAGAAATACTTTGCGATTATAATGGTTTCATTTAAATTATATTATAAATTGATATAATCTCCTATAAACACATAATTCTATATATAATCTATAAATATAATTATATTAATTTGCAACCTGAATAAATAATGCCATTAATGTAATTTATAACAGACATTTTTCAATAAAAATACCTCATCGTAATGACACCGTGGAAGTTGCTTTTGACTGTTTTCTGATAAACGAAGAAAAGGTTACTTCTATTGATTTGAAATCCAGCCTCTTGTGCTGGTACTTGCATTGCTTGATATATTTTGTTCATTTCATCAGTTTGATATATGTTCGGTATATCTCCATTATTTAAGATATTGTTTAAATCCTCCAGCATTGAGTCATTCGTTATCTACAAGAACGTATAATTTTATGGAATATCTCTGAGATACAATTTAAATATGAAAACGGAATTTCGTTATCGTAAACGCAGTTATCTATAAATATCTATAAATATATATAAATATCATAAATAGTGATTATTGCAAGTAAATTATCTTCTTTTTTTTTCTTTAAGAAATTTTTCATTAAGATTGTAAAATATTTCTTTGAGATGCATTTTAATATCAAATGTATCCTTTTAATAAATGCAGTAGCATTTATTCATAATATACAAATTAAAACAAGAGCACTTAGAAAGTTATACTTTTTCGTTTAACTCCACATTTTCTGATCTGCATTTTACATGCATGTCAGAAAACAAAAAAACAATAGGTTGATTTTGTAATCCTGCTTTTAGCATTATGTTTTTGATGTCGTCTCGCCAGTCATGAATTGTATAATCTTTATTGATTTCAATCTGATAACAATTGTATTCCTTGATATACGATGAAAACTTTGTCAAGCTTCGACGTCCTAATAAGAACAACAATATATTCTGTTCCGTATTTCCAGCGGATACAATATAAGTTCTTAAACAGAGGGATGAAGACGCATATATAAGAAAAAATATATACATATAATATAATACATAGAAAATAAAGATATTATTAATTATAAAACATTTTAATATTTTAATCTTAAATTATAATCTACCCGATCCACTTATTCCAAGCAGTAAAGCATTTCCTCCAGGTTGTCGAAGTATTCGTGTGATTCTACAAATATGATTTATTGCATCTTCAAAAAATATTAATTGTATCGGTGATGTCGTTAAATCATTATAACTGTCTAAATTATCAAGTAGAATAGTTCTTATCTATAAAACATATATAAAGGATAATATATGTAAAGCAAAATTTTTATAATTGTATTTAAACATTACAATTATATTTGTTAAAGAAGTGTTATAAGATATGCAAAAAATCTAAATTTTAAATTAAGTTTGCATTTTAAATTATAAGTGTTATAATGTCCAACGGCAATAATTGCACATACAAATTTAAAACTATTAAATTTTACATTAACTGTTTATTATTATTTATTGTCAGACTTTTATTTATTATTAAGTATTGTTGCAATTGTTAACTGTTAGTGATTTTACAAGATTACTTATAAATTATTACTTATAAATTATTATGTTATGTTAAATACTAGGTATGTGTTAATTTAAATAAAAATGAATTACTTTTTCGATGTCTGTTATCTCTTCATAGTCTCCTATTATATTACAAAAATCGCTATAAAATAATGGTTTCTTTCCGATAATATCGTCCACGTTACAATGGAATTTTTTCATCAGTACATCGCATAAGAGCTGATCAAACCATTTTTTATCATCGTCATTTATAAAGCGATCGCTGAAGACTCGAATATTTTCGTGATACCAAAGTAATAATAACTTTTCGCGAACCTATATGATGTAAAAAAATATTAATCAAATGTGATTATTGACACAAGCATTATTTAATATATATAAAGCAATTTCTATAGAAATTAATGAATTGTATAAGAATACGAAAGATAAATGTCGATTTTCAGTAGATATAATTTCATAATAACACATATTTTTGACAATAAAACATACGCAAAGCATTTAATTTTATGCTAACATTATATGAATAAAATACCATATAAATCCGATTAAAATAATCTCTCTTTTCAAGAAAATTGCAAGCAACGTTTATCGATTAATATATACGTGGAGTGACCTGCTTTGCCATGTATGAAACTACTAGAGCAAGGTTATTTTCTCTACTTATTGTCAAACAAATTTACCGTTTTTTATATCAACTAGATAATAATGGTATATGTTGAACGATACTCATTCAATGCCAAAACTGTAATGCCTGAGTTAGAGCCAAAGATTTGTCTGACCATACACGTACTTTAACTACTTATCGACAAGTGCGTTATTATCAAATTACTTTTTATTTTTAAATAAAATACAATTAATTTTTAATTTAGAGATATTTAAAAAAATCATATGATATACAGAATTCTTTTCGATTGAAACGCATTTTGGTGCTTTGATGCTTAATATCCTTTGTAATTACATTTTCCTTTTCTGTAAAATATGCGCCAATTTGTTGGATTAGAAACGTAATTATAAATATAAATTATATATTAGAAATAACATCATCATTAATTGTCTATTTTTTTATTAATGTTAATAAGCATTTTTTTGCAATATATAAATACTGCAAAAAATGCTGTGTGTATATATATATATATATAT